AGAAATTCAGCACCGCTGGGCCGGGCTGGACTTTCCATGTATTATGACACGTTCATGCATGCCACGACAAATCACGGCATTAAATTAGTTTCAGGCTGCGGCTTGGCTGAGGCTGAGTTGTTTTTCGAACTGCGCTTGCGTCACTGAGCCACCCTTGAGAGTCGAAAACTCTGAAACTCTTTGCTGGTTCTCACTGCACTGTCTCACTCTCACAGCCACACAGCCCTCCAAGAATCCAAGGTGTATTGGTCAGATCAACTCGAGCGTTGGCTGTTGCCACTGGAGAAGCTCGGGGTACATCTTCTGCCAGTTCGTCCAGAACACTGCCGGGCCATGGGGATTCCATACCCATTCTACAAGGCAGTGGCGTAAACAACGCACACATTTGTTTTGGCATGGGCCGGGCTGGGATTGGATCTTGATGCTTCTAGTCCCGGTGCCGGTGTCATTACTGATTCGTCGCTCTCCCCAGCCCCGCGCGCAGCACTTGCCTTCGCCATCGCGCTGCTGTGAATTGGCTGGCAATGGCATGGCCATGCCTGTGGTGCCGGCCTCGATCTTGGTTTGACTGGTGACAAGTGACAAAGGTTCATGCGACGAACCCTACTAGCCTACGGAAACATCCTGGCATGACTCATGACTGGCATGACTCAATGACTATCATTGCTGGTTACTTGTTTGTGCAGCAGGGCTGGGGCATTGCGGCTCGGGGCTTTGGTCGCTGCAGACTGCAAACGCCAAGGTGACTGCTGTGTTGCTTTGGCTGCTGGCGAACACTGAGAAGAAGGTCGGCCAAGAGACCCAGACTCCGGCACTCCGTGAGCCTGAAGTTCCTGCCTTGTAACTTGTAACTTGTACATCCAACTCAACCACGCAAATTACCAATCGATACAAATCAAAGACAGTACTGTACTTTACCTAGCAAAATACAAATATAAATAAGAGCTAGTGCCGGGCCGGGCCCGTAAAGCTGTAATCTCAAACACGGTGTCTGAAGTCTGAAAACCAGGTTTTGGAATCGAACATCAGTTGTTAACTGAACCGTTTTTTTCGGGTTTGGTTGAATTTGGTTGTCACAAGTACAGTGCAAGTGCCAGTGCAAGTGCAAGGTGGGTCTTTCAAATAGCTGAGAGCCTGAGAGCAGGCCACTGGCATGCGGCTAAACTTTTGTGTAGGCATGACACTGTGACACTTGTTTGGTTTTTGGTGTTCAAGTTTGATCAAACCAGATAGCTGTATGTTTCTTGCTAGCTTTGCCGCGCCATGAACTTAGATTGAGTTGGTTAGAGGCGCTGTCGGCGCTGTGTGCCATTTTGATATGGCCCTGGCCGGGCTTGGCTGGAACACGTGCAATATGTGAGGTTGCAAATAATCAGTCTGGGCCTGCGCATGGTGTTGGTGGCTCTGGCTGCCGGCTCGGCTGGCCAATTCGGGGCCAATTCGGGGTTCGACCTGTGCTTTGCGCGGGCGTGGGGCAAAACCAATGTGAAAGCAAGTCATTGCCAATCCTCACAAAGACACATCGCAGGTCCAGGTTGCATGAAGTAGACTGGGCAGGCAAGGCTAGGTATGAGACATGGGTTCAGAGTCAGAATGAAGTTAACAAAGTTTGTTAGTCTTGCTTATCACGTTGCGGACCTACAAAAAAAGCAATCAATTCATGCTGACTGGCCTCGCATGTCATGCGCCCTGCTGTGACGTCCAGCTTCCCATGCCTGCTCACTTGGCCAGCCACAGGCCACCGGCCACAGGCCCAAGTCCCCGGACCTGCCTTCCTATGATCAACATGGCGGCTGACGCTGGCGAGCTTGAAATCTTTGGAGACCTTGTGGATGGTGACAGCAGCAGCACTGGCAAGTTGCCTGCTGATGGCATCGGCAGCCTGGGTGTAGGGATTGTCGACGGCAGTGGCGAGTTCTGTGACATCTGTCAGGAGGAAATCCGTCGTGTTGCCATTGCCACCCCCTTCAACCTCCACCACCCCAACTAATAGTCCGTTACGCCCAGACGCCCAGCTAAAATCCCTCTTGTTTTATTCACGAACTTCACAATCAACGAAATTCAGACTCAGCCTCAGATGATCTCAAATGACTCAGATGGCTGTGGGTCTTGAGCCGTGGCCGTGGACGTGATTGCAAAAGTCCAGATAACCGATGCAAACCTGTCAAGCCTCAAGCACATGGCAGGAGCTTCCAATCAGCGAGGTCAAACGCTGCAAAGACAGCCACTTGGCTTTGCGGCACGTGGGCTGCCGCAACAGCGAGAGAGCAATGCTCCTTGCAGCAGATTCTCCAACAAAAGCGCAGTTGAGGCAATTGGGCGGCGGGTACGGGTAAGTGGGGCATTGTGTGGACGACAGATGGGCGCATGATGCACGAGCATGGACCTGTGTTTGGCTCTGGCAATTCGGATTTGAACATTGGCTAAGGAAGAAGCACGACCATGACCATGGACTTGTGTTTGGCTCTGGCATGGGCGGGATTCGGATTTGAACATTGGCAAAAAAAGACGTACGATGTTTAATATTTAGCTTCAGACTCAACATTTGCGCAGGCAATTGAAGAACGAAGATGCTGTGGCTTGGCATCTAGCACGGGTCCAGGCAGTCCAAGAGACGTGGCGCGTGTGTGGTTGCCTTCATTTTTACTTGCTTGGTGGAATTTGGTGGAAGCATGATTTGTTCATTGCAACTGACATGAATCATTGTAAATTGTATAATGTAAATTGTTTCTTGTTGAGTTCCTGCCGGACGTTGCCACGTTGGATTGAGTCTGAAACTTGAAGCTCATGCTCATACTGACTCATACTCATACACACGTGAGACTGAAGTGACTGAAGCTTGCATCGTGCGAGTTTTTGATTTAAGGTTGCCTACGGCCGGCTGTGCTTGAGACATCATGAGTCTACTTCGAGGGGCCGCGGAAGGAAAGCTGCGAACAGCGTGTTTGATTGGAGCACGGAGATCGAGCCTTTTGGCACAATTGATGCAGCGGGGCGCGGCGCAGAAACAAAAGCAGCCACGACTTCAATACTGCAAGAAACGACAACAACAAAAACACCAACGACGCCAACGACGCCAACGCTGTCACAATTGAGTTTCCGTGTCGTCATTTGGTTGACTTGAGCAAACACATTTTTGTTGTTTGCTCTGCAACCGGCCAACTGCCCAGGACGATCCAGAAGGGACGCAGGGAGGTGAACCGTGGCGAATCGTTGTTCATGGACTACAACGATTACGTGGAGCACTACACACAGACCCTCAAGCCGCCGAGACGCCTCACTGCCATGGAGGCCAGAATTTTGGCTGCAATATTACCGATCCCAGATCGATGTGGCTGTTGTTCGGAATTCGGACGATTCGGATTCGGATGCAATGTTATCAACTTCCACCCAGTCACCCAGAACTGAGTATAAACTTGAACTAGTAGCTTATACTGTCTGGAACATATAGCGACGGTTTGTTGAGATTATTCGGTTAGTGAAGTTAGTGCGGTATGCCTTTTGGGCTGAGTGAGGGCCAACGTTGGGAGTTGGGAGTTGGGTCCAGAGCGTCCTTGATGGAAATCGTGACCTTTTCCAGATTTTTCCAGGGAGTTTACAGCGCGCCAAGTGCCAAGTCTCAAAGTTGTTCGGATGATGATCGAGCTTGATCGGCGCCGTCTGAAGAGCCAAGGCAAAAAGTGGCACCAAGATGTGAGAGACCATGCTGTGCGGAAGCACAATCAGCAGGCGCAAGAAGTGCCAGTGGAGCGCAGTTTCCGGTACCTGTGGTTCCTCGTTTTTGGGCTTCGGCCGGCCCCAGACCCCAAGGTTCCCAAGTGCCCCCCAGCCACCCAACTCAATGGGCCTGCGTTCAATGCTATGTTCCTCAACCCAGCCCAGCTTCCGAGCAATGCCATGCCTCCCGACTCCCGAGCCGACTCCTTTTAAGTTTGAAACTTCGAGCAGCTTTGGCCTGGGTCTGGGTCTTCGCTTTGCTCGACTCATTTGCACAGGAATTGGTCGGCGGGCGGACGATCACAGTCCAGATGGTGGCCGTGCCGGTCGCGCGGAAGGTCCTGGATGACACGTACGTGGATCACTCGTCATCGACAACTGCGGGCCGCACCACTCGAAAGCCGAGCCTTGGTTGACAACTTGGTTGGCCAATAAGTTGACGACGCTTGTTTGAAATCGATTTCTGGGCACAGGGCATGAATTGTGTGCTGCATAGGCATAGGGGGTAGGGGCAGTCAGCTCCCTATCAACATTATCTACGTGTGGCGTTGTGGCGCAAGCGTGAGTTGCTTGTCTCGGGGAGGGAAGGGAAACATGCAAATCCTACGGCCAAGCGGCCAAACGGGCCAACCGCACATTCATTTAACCTTAGAGTAACTTGTTGACTGACTGACCTGACCATCCTTCATGATTTCATGTAATCATTTCGATGCCATTTAATTTTGCACTGTTACATTTCACAGGGGGGTCAAACCCCATCGTCACCGCACTCAATTGCACCGAAGTCATCGAAGCGCCACTGCTAAGACAGTTCCTTATCCGTATCCCAGCCTGCGCCTCGGCCCTGGAGCAAAGCGACACAGCAAGCGAGCAACCAATGTGCTAAAGTAACGGGTTGCTAATTGGTTGACGCGCGATGGAAAGTGGTCACCCCACGGCCCACGGTGGATGCTTGGCTTGTTCGCGTTCAACGTACTTGTCCAATCAAGCATTCAATTCAGGTCCGGTCCAAGCAGTCATGACTTCAACCACAAGTTTAGAGTACATGCCGGCCCCGCTGGCACGCCTCGCACGCTGGGTCTTTTTGGGGCCTGAGGCTCGTCGACCGGGTTCCGGTTTGTGTGCAAATGCCGGAATGCTGGGCATGCAGACATGCAGAGGGTGTTGGCGGAATGTTGGCAAATTGGCAGGGGGTGCCGACTGCTGTCGGGCGATTTTGACGGATGTTGCAGTGGGACTCGTGGCAAGGCAGGGGATGTTGCGGAATGATGTAAGTTCCAGAGATGATGCTGGTAATGCAGAGGATGCTGTTGAGGGCAGGCGCCGGCCCGGCGCCGGGCCCGGCGCCGGCCCGGCGCCGACGCGCCGGGTCATCTGCCCGTAGTCTTCCGTCATCTTCCCGTAGTCTTCCGTCATCTTCCCGTAGTCTTCCGTCATCTTCCGCAGTCTTCTGTCAGCTTCCGTCATCTTCCCGTAGTCTTCCGTCATCTTCCCGTCATCTTCCCGTAGTCTTCCGTCGTCCGGCGCGCGCTCCGGAGCGCGCGCGGAGCGCGCGCCCGGCGCGCCGGGGCCCAGTCTTCCGTCATCTTCCGCAGTCTTCTGTCAGCTTCCCGTCATCTTCCCGTAGTCTTCCGTCATCTTCCCGTCATCTTCCCGTAGTCTTCCGTCATCTTCCCGTAGTCGTCCCAAGCGGCGCGCGCTCCGGAGCGCGCGCCCGGCGCGCCGGGCCCGGCGCGCCGGGTCCCGGGACGTCTCTTCCGTCATCTTCCCGTAGTCTTCCGTCATCTTCCGCCTGCAGTCTTCTGTTAGCTTCCCGTCATCTTCCCGTAGTCTTCCGTCATCTTCCCGTAGTCGTCCCAAGCGGCGCGCGCTCCGGAGCGCGCGCCCGGCGCGCCGGGCCCGGCGCGCCGGGTCCCGGGACGCCGGGTCCCGAGCGCCTGGCACCCACTTCGGGGTCTCAACCCATGCCCCTGGCCCTGGCTCTTCGGTCCCGGGCCCCGACACCTGGCACTTCGGGCCCCGACACCCGGGTCCCGACAGGCCGGTCCCGGGCCCCGACACCTGGCACGTCGGGGCCCGACACCTGGCACGTCGGGGCCCGACACCTGGCACGTCGGGGCCCGACACCTGGCACGTCGGGGCCCGACACCGGTCCCGCCAGCTTCCCGTAGTCTTCCGTCATCTTCCCGTAGTCTTCCCGTAGTCTTCCGTCATCTTCCTGCAGTCTTCTGTCATCTTCCCGTCATCTTCCCGCAGTCTTCCGTCATCTTCCCGTCATCTTCCCGTAGTCTTCCGTCATCTTCCCGTCATCTTCCCGTAGTCTTCCGTCATCTTCCCGTAGTCTTCCGTCATCTTCCCGCAGTCTTCCGTCATCTTCCCGTAGTCATCTTCGGACCCCGACGCCCGGGTCCCGACAGGACCCGAACCCTGGCACTTCGGGCCCCGACGACAGGACCCGGGCCCGGCCCCGACACCTGGCAACGTCGGGCCCCGGGTCGGTAACCTGGCGCGTTGCGACAGCCCCGGGTCCGGTCTCGGGTATCCAGCAGGTGCCACAACCCTGCACAACCCATTACTGTACAGTCACGACCAATAGTCCACGGCCCCACGCCTTCCAGCTTCAGCCTTCAAATGCAGCTTGCCGATCCAAGGACTGAGGAGAAGCTGTCAGCCTCCATCAACACCACGCTGAATAGCGAGCCTGCGGCTGGTTTGCTAGGCGGGGACGGGATGGTACTTGTATGATCTTGTATGGTCAGCACAAGTCAGGTCAGGTTTGTGTTGTTTTCAGCTTCCGCCGATCGTTTTAATAAGATTGAAAACAAAACATATAGTGGGCAGTGGGCAGTTGCGGTTGCGGTAGTTGGGTGTGTGTGTGTGTGTGCGGTGTGTGTGTGTGTGTGTGTGTGTGTGTGTGTGTGTGTGTGTGTGTGTGTGTGTGTGTGTGTGTGTGTGTGTGTGTGTGCGCAGTGTGTGTGCAGTGTGTGCAGTGTGTGCTGTGGTGTGTGACTGTGTGACTGTGTGTGTCAAGTTTCAAACGCGGCCTGAGAAGTTGAGAAGCAGCCAAATGTTGGTTTGAGATTGAGAAGCATACTTATACATTCAACATGATGGGTCGGTTGGACAGGACATACAAATCCAGCAATTCACTTCGTTTTCGACAATCCTTCGCCCCGGTCCCTCGGGCGGGAGCAAATCAATAAAATAATGCCCGGCGTACATGTAGAGGGCGGCCCCCCTGCAGTCTGCAGTCATAGAATCCGACAAACTCACACTTGTTCTGAGAGCCACCGGCCACCGCCACCGAACTGCGCAGACCTGCAAAGTGACCCGGCGGCTGGCAGCAGCGGAGGAGCGAAACGGGGTGTCGGCGGCGATGATCCCACCGCCAACAAGAGGGCGAAGGGGGGGGGCGGGGCCGGGGGCCAGAACCGAACCCGCCCCCTCGAGATCGTGAAGCTGCAGAAGCGGACCAGGTTCGTCACCGCTCTGAACACGGTGCACAGGGACGCGGTGAACAGGGACACGGAAGCGCAAAAGGTTATCCAAGAAGCGGCCGCGCTTGCTGCCACGAACCCGGATGCCGAATCCGACGAGTCGCTCATGCTCAAGAGCCCATACTTGGAAGCTTGCCAGCACTGATTCAAACTGGTCCATTTAATGACAATTTCATTGCTTCTGTGTCTGTGCATATGCTGAATCTGAACTTGAGCTGTACTGTATTACTGTCACATTCAAATCACGTGGTTGTGAATCACTGCTGCAGTGGCAAAGCCGGCAGCCGGCAGCCCTTCCCTTTTAATCAACTTCATTTCTGCATGCCTCCGGCTCCGGTAAAGTTGTAATTACAGAGCCAATGCCAAAGCTGAGGTGGATTTGCGAGCGCGCTTGGCTGTGCTGACTGCGTGGTCCGGGGGCACTGGCGACGACAAAACGTTGCAAGAGCTGATCACCGAGGAAAGCCGCTTGGCTTTCACCATATTTTTTTGGGGTTGAAGTTGGATTGAATTGAGCTTGATTATTGAGCTGTGGGAATTGGACTCAGCCAGCTCTGGAATTGAGCGCTTATTCAGAATCCAGAAGGCTCTTTAACTCTTCGATTGCAAATCAACATTGGCCCGACATTTGCAGCAGTTTCAATTTGCTAATGAATGAATTGAATTGAAGTTGAGGTTTGTGCGTTTGTGTGCTGTGTGTGTGGCATGTTTGTGACCGTGACCGTCACCGAGCTGGGTTAGCTGTTTAGGTTTAGCTGTTAAGTTTTGTATTGTGACTCGTGAATTATGTGAACAAATTGGGGCCCTGGCCTGGACTCTGGAGTCTGGAGAGTGACTCGACTGCGACTCATGACTCTGTGTGTGCGAGGTGTGTGTGTGTGTGTGAGTGTGACTCTGTTGTTTGTTGTTTTTTTGGTCGCATCTGGTCATTTGGCCGCGGTTTGCTGATTGCTGATTCGTGACGGTGAGTGCAAGGTGTACGTGTGTCTGATTGCGTCACAAAGTTTGATGTTGAATTTTGATTGTGTGCTTGTAAACTTCCGCACTCTGGAATCTGGAATCTGCACTGCTGTGTTGTGAGTCGTGAGCACCCATTCCGGCTTGGCTCCGAGTCCGAGTGAGGCTACTTCAATAGCGTGGAGGAGCTGAAGAACATGATGTCCTTCGCCAAAATGCAGAAGATCGACCAGGCGATCAGAGATGTCTTCACTCACGAAGATCTGGATGCCTGCGTGGAGCAGTACGACCGTGCCTCGGCCGAAGCTGGTTTTGTCGAACTCATTTTTTGCGTTGGTGCGGCGCCCAGTGCCCAGCCTAGCCCCACTGGTCGCAACCAATGCCTTAATGGTCTTATCCTTGGGGATGGGCGGGGGCGGTTCAGATTCCATGCCAGCCAGTAGCGCCAAGGTGCGTTGGCGGGTGTCAAGATCATGATGGCTGCTGTGAAAGAAGTGGGCAAGAACTGGCAGGTGCGGCACGCTTGAGACTTGAGACTCTCACATTTGAGATTTTAGATTGGCTCACAATATTTTGTTAAACAAATCAGTTCGTCAACAGTTAGTCTACGGCCTACGGGTGCCTACCCAGTTCCACTGCACGCGTTTGCATGTGTGTGTGAGTGCTTCTTACACGGTCGGTCAGTTCAGCAAAACTGTGTGCCTCTTGCCACTTTGTGTTAGTGACTTCAATCTGAACTTGATCCTCATGCCGCATGCTGCATTGGAGGACTTGAGCCCTCAGACTGAAACCCGCAGGCAACATGCGTCGGCCGGGCACACCAAGCCCTGCCTGCCCCGCCTGCGCAGGCTTTCTGCCAAGCCACACGGAAGAGCCGGCTCAACTTGGAGAAGAAGCTAGCCAAACAGTGGCTCGGATGATCGGAAGTTGCTAGAAACAGGCATGCTCTGTAACAACTCGGCGTGTGAGTCCGTGTGAGTGAACCAAACAAGTTGCTTGTTGTTTCACACATGATCAGGTATGGTACTATGGAACGATGTAGTCTGATGATCTGATGTAGTAACTAATTTGATTGTTTGAAGTTTGTTTGAACGGCTAAGGCAAGCAAGGAAAGGTAGTTTTTTTGCCATTGCATTCGATTTCCGTCAGTGTTCAGTGTCTGTGAGTGTCACTGAACTGGTGTTTTGAATCTGGGCCGTAGCAGGCCGCAAAAACAAGGCAACATCGAGTCTTCTCACACTTCCTTGGCCATGTCATCGGCGCTTCACTAGAAATATAAGCCATGATTGTTGTGCGATCGGCAACTTGCAGTGAGCCATTGCGTGTTGTTGGATGACTTCTAGTCCTAATTTCTAGATTGTAATTTTCTGGCAAGCTAGTTCTGGCATTGTACAGTAACAGTACAACCGTCAACTACCCCAACATGTCTGAACTAAGGACACGTTTGATGCGCTCGGATTAGGATTGGGTTGTTCACGGCACGGCAACAGCTTGCAAGTTGCAAGACCACGGTGACCACAGCACATCTTTCACTCTTTCACTGCGTTAAAACACGTGGACAATAAATGAAACGCCAAATTGCCAATTGAAGTTGAATCGGGGCAGCAAGTGCAGCAAGGGGCGGGAGCCAAGAGATAAAACTGAGTTAAACAAAATCGACTGTCTTTGGTTTGCCAAGGGCAGAGGCGCAAAAGGTGCGGGAGGCCAAGAAGGCGGAGGCGGCATCAACTTCAGCCAAGGCCAAGGCAAGCCTGGGGCCCGGCTTGGCTTGTGAATTCTAAATCGTGTGATTATGATTCTGATGGGCAGCTGTTTTGGTCCAGTCTTGGCAGTCTTGGCCTTGAATGTGTTTTGTGCAGTGCGGCCACGTTCACGTCAGCGATTCTTCTCACTGCCTCGGCCAGGCTCGGGCGGGCAACGGCTGTTTGGAGCACATCACCAAGTCGGACTGCGCTTTTTTCCGCTCGATAACCTCTACGAACATCAAGCAGATCCAGCTGACTGCGGTGTCCGTTGCGCCGGAGGTCACGAGCAAGCCGTTCCTTCTTCGCTGCCTGGCGCAATTGATTGTGGCCAGCGGTTGGCGGGTGGGGTGGGGGAGCAGTGTATACCACAGAGTGTTTCGTCACGGAAAGGTCATGCAAGGCTGCCTTCAAGTCATTTGCCGTCAAGTTGTGATGCGCGTGTGGGCTTCCAAGGCAAGAAGAAATCCATGCTCGACCAGCTCTCCTCCCTCTCGGAGCAGACAGATGCCAGCCGCCAGCGAGTTTCGGAGCTTCTGCCAACCTTTGACAAGAACTTCTTGTCGAGAAAGGAGCTCCAGCTGTTTGCCCCGCTCCCGGCTACGCACGTGGAGCCGCTTCGCCTGGCAATGTTGGACCAGATCGGGGGTAGCACTGAAGAGGCTGACGCCGACACGCAGGGCATGAGGGACCTCATCGGGTCCAGCAACCTGGACGCTGCCAAGGCTCTGCGAGAGCTACACCTTGTGGGCTACAAAGCAGGGTACGTGCAAGAAACTCAACTGAATTGAGCACCTTTGTTGAACTTTGTTGTATCAGTGTTCCCTCCGTAGCATGTCGTGATCGAATCCATGATCCATCTTTGTTGTATCAGTGTGCCCTCCATAGCATGTGATCGAATCCATGATCCATCTTTGTTGTATCAGTGTTGATCCATGATCCATCTTTGTTGTATCAGTGTGCCCTCCATAGCATGTCGTGATGAATCCATGATCCATCTTTGTTGTATCAGTGTGCCCTCCGTAGCATGTCGTGATCCATGATCCATCTTTGTTGTATCAGTGTGCCCTCCATAGCATGTCGTGATCCATGATCCATCTTTGTTGTATCAGTGTGCCCTCCATAGCATGTCGTGATCCATGATCCATCTTTGTTGTATCAGTGTGCCCTCCGTAGCATGTCGTGATCGAATCCATGATCCATCTTTGTTGTATCAGTGACTTTATCAGTGTGCCCTCCATAGCATGTCGTGATCCATGATCCATCTTTGTTGTATCCGTGTGCCCTCCATAGCATGTCGTGATGCATGATCCATCTTTGTTGTATCAGTGTGCCCTCCTAGCATGTCGTGATCCATGATCCATCTTTGTTGTATCAGTGTGCCCTCCATAGCATGTCGTGATCCATGATCCATCTTTGTTGTATCAGTGTGCCCTCCGTAGCATGTCGTGATCCATGATCCATGACCATGATCCAGTCGGCCCAGGAAGGCTGCGAGCCGTTCGGCCTCGGCACGGTGAAGATCATGTTGCAGGGAACGACTCTCGATTACGCAGTCAGTTGTTGCCGGCGTCGTCGTTTTCGCCTCAATGTGAAATGGAATGTTGACAACTTAAGACTTAAGACTTCATACCATTTTTGACGTTTGTTTGATATTTGATATATATTATGATTGTTTGCGGCCGGTCTGACCATTGCTCACCCGCCAACTTTAACCGGAGCTGCAATTCTGAGGAAGTGCTACATGGCTGTGTTCAGCATGCAGCGCATTCTTGACGATTGCCACTCCGACCATGACATTGAGGTGGCCTTGGGCATCCCCGCCATGATCTGCAATCTGAAGGACCAGGATGCGCCTGATCTCTTTAATGAGGTCAACTTTGTCTCCTTTATGACTGTGATGCCGGGCGACTTAGTGTACATTCCGCCTGGGTCGCTGGTCCTGAGCAAGACTTGCGCAACGCCAAGCACGTTTCTCCGTGCGCAAATGTTCAATGCTTTGTGCCCTGCAAATGTGGCATTTGACTTCTGGCAGAAACTCATGCAGCCAGACAGGGTTTCCTTTTTGGCGGAGTTGCTGAAGCTGCAGAAGCCTTGGTCTGCTGATGATGTCGGATCTGGGCCACTGAACAAGGTCAAGACGGAGTCTGCGGCCGCGCATGCAGCCAACGATGACAGCAACGTGCCCGGGCCTCCTGCTGATGCTGATGTGGAGGCTGCTGAGGAGGTGGCCCCAAAGGAAGCGACCGAGCAGACCAAGCCGGAGTCCACACAGCCCACGCCAGAGCCAGCTCCAAAGCCTGCTGCTGCCGCTGCCGCCAATCAGGAGCAGCCTAGCCAGCCTGATCAGGCTCCTGGCGAGGCTGACGCCGCGATGCTTATACTGGAGGCTGCCGAGACCAAGCCTGCCCCAGAGGCCCCAGAGGCCTCAGAAAGGACTGCTTCCGCGCCAATGCCCATGGCGACAGAGGCTGCTGAGACCAAGTCTGCAGAGGATGTTGCCCTGGAGTCAGAGAAGACTGCTTCCGCGGCGCTGCCCACGCCGGAACCTGCCCAGTTTGTGGAGGAGGCTGCCGAGACCAAGTCTGCCCCGGAGTCCGAGAAGACTGCTTGCGCGGCGGCTGAGACCAAGTCTGCAGAGGAGGTCGCCCCCGCCCCGGAGTCCGAGAAGACTGATTCCGCGGCGATGCCCACACAGCCAGAAAATGCTGAGACCAAGTCTGCAGAGGAGGTCGCCCCGGAGTCCGAGAAGACTGCTTCCGCGGCGATGCCCACACCGCCAGAGGCTGCTGAGGAGGTTGCCCCGGAGTCCGAGAAGACTGCTTCCGCGGCAATGCCCGCACCGGAGCCGGAGGCTGCCCAGTTTGCAGAGGAGGCTGCCCCGGAGTCGGAGGCTGCCAAGACCAAGTCTGCCCCGGAGTCAGAGAAGACAGCATCCGCGGCGATGCCCACACCGGAGGCTGCAGAGGAGTTTGCCCCGGCCCCAAGTGCCCCAGAGTCAGAGAAGGCAATGGCCACGCCGCCGCCGGAGGCTGCCGAGACCAAGCCTGCTGCAAACCCAGAGGCTGCTTCCGCGATGGCCGCTTCTCGCCTTTTGTGTTTTTTGTTTGGGGTTGGTCCGTCACTCGGCCTTGGTTGGCCGGCCTTCCATTTTTTTGTGATAAAAGATTTGCTGCGCCCGCGAGAGATTGTGATATATTTTCTTTTTTTGGAATTTTGAATTGAGATTATTGAGATTCCAGAAACATGTTGGCCAGTGAGTCTAGTGAGTTCTGAGTTAGTCACATTTGCCTCCCCCTAACAATTGTAATTTGAGGGGGGGGGTACTGAGTACTCAGTGATACGTAAATGTTTGTTGCACTTTTGAGGGGGCGGGGTGGTTGGGAAACACGGAGGCGGCTGCCGCTTGAGCGGCCACTAAACCGAACGCTGGTCCCAGAAAAGGGTTGTGTTTTTCTGCGGGCTATATATGATTATATTTCAAGGGCTAGCGGGCTGCCCGGCTACCCCCCCCCCAAAAAAAAGAAATAAATTGCAATTTTGAGGTCCCCCGCGGGGATTCTTGTGCCAGTGCTTGTCATGGCCAACTGCTGACTGCTCAGGATAGTGAGGATCTCGACATGGCCCTGGGTGCGCTCATGGAAGCCGAAGCAGCCACAGACTGCGGCGCGAAGGCTGGTAGTTGGCAGGTCGGTGGATGTCGTAAATGAGCACATCGTCAACATGCAAACCTGTCAGTCGATCGTCAATTTGTCAATGAATCAATTGAATCAATATGTCGCTACTGGCTGGCTGGCCTGTCCCATTACTGTCCGCAGGTGGCGCCAACGCTGGAGACGCGTGACGTGGACGTGGACAAGGCCAAGACCAAGTCCAAGGCGAAGGGGGCCAAGGCCAAGGACGGGCTTTTTGGGCCCAGCAGCATGGCACAGAACAGATTCTAAACTCTAATTGTGTTTTGATGTTGGCGTTGGACAGTATTAGTGGTGAGCAGTGATAGTATGGGCTTTGAACTTGAACACCACACCGTCGGCAATGGATGGCAGTCCGCAGTCACTTCACATTTGCTTGGCTGGCTGCTAGGAGGCAGCCCCGGCCGCAGCCGCAGCGTCGACTTCAAAGACGCCAGTGCCTTGCATGAATCAACCCAATTTATCCAAATTCCCTCTAATAAGTAATAAGGAACCTACTTGTTCAGGGCCAACTCCAAACTCTTTGATTTTGGGGACAGTCCATTGAATATTGACGAATTGCTCCAACGGCGTTTTGGGGGACAAAAAGCGTTTTTTTGGCAGCAACGGCGAACAATAGTGCAATTTCAATCAGCGGCAGAAATTCAGCACCGCCGGGCTTTCCAGGTATATATTATTTCGTGAATTCGTTGTTGAAGCCGAATTGTATAAATGACCAACTGTTACTAACTTGACAGGGAACGCTTTTTAGCTGAGGCTAGCGGCTAGCGGGCTGGTAGTTAGGTTAACCTGGTTGCATTTGGATTACGAGTCGTCTAGGATTGCTTCTGGCCAAATCCGCCAAGGCCGCCAGTGGGCCAAAGGCCAAGGCCAAGAGCAAGAGCGCCGCGAAGGCAAAGGCTGCCGGGAAGCCGTCGGCTGAGAAGCCGTCGGCGGCTTTAGAGTCACTTTTCTCCGGCGGCAAACGCCGGAAGATTTCGTAGGCTGATCAGCTGATCAGACAGGGTAGGTCGGTTGCGGTTGCTCTGAGGCTCTGAGGCTCGAGGTTGGAGTTTCCGGCACCCTCAAAGAATAGTGTGCCTTTGTTTGAGTTTGCGTGGACATGTGGAGCAACCGAACTTGTGTTGGCCTGGCAATTTGCCGAGGGATTTGCGCTTTCCAGCACTGCGATGCAGTGGACGAAGCCATGAGGGGGAAAACATCGATGTGGCGGCCGGCGCTCCTGGTACTAACTGTGATTTCATATCGAATTCATATTCAAATCTTGTTGCTTGAGCCAGACTCACATCCTGTGGTGTGACACCATCCCAACTCCCAACATCATCCCCCCAACGGACCAACGGGGACACTATGGGTATTCATGGGCAGTTTTTAGAGGGGAACCTATTTTGGGCTCGCTTGTAAAAGGAAATTACGAGGAACACCACCATTGTTAGGTGACCGGTCCCTTAAAAAGAAAGCACACCGTTCAATGTTCATCACTGCTAAGAAAATCATTATGGCCCATATCATGTTGCAGCCATTTTTCATATATTACATATATTGCAATATTTCCCACTACCTCCAATTTGGATTTATGGTTGCATTTTGGAGGCTGGGGCAATGCACATACTGGAGGCCTTTGCAACGCAAGGGCCCAGCTCAACATGTGTTCCTTTGCACTTCAGCTCCAGCGTTCAAAATTAGGCTTCAAATCAACGTTGGCTTTTGGGTTTGGGGATGCATTTCAGGCTTGATACTTGATTGATTGGCAGTTGTTGAGGGGGATTGAGTTGGAAAAGTAAGGGAGCAACCAAAACCTAGGAGGAGTCAGGCTGTTTAATGAATTTTGGCTAATCTCATGGATTTGGGGTATACACAGGGGGGCCTCACGCAATTTAGCACAAAGTCATGACCTACTTGCTGGTTCTTGGCGAAGGTGTATACTCGATGAAGATCCCACAAGTCAGTTGGCTCAGGCTTCCTGCGTGAACCCAGCAGACTGATCCTGACCCGCGTGGATCCCGCATCTGCGTATTTGTTTTGGTGTTTTCCGACCTTGAGCAGATCGATCCCAATATGGAGCCAGTGAGCTTGAGCTGAATGTCGGTGCCAAGGGAGTGAGTACTTCCACTTTACAGTTTGCGTATTATTCCCCTCAGGTCAAGTATCAGGTGTCCCCGTATTGGTTATGTGGATTGGCTTGGGGAAACCAAGGGCTCTGGTTGACGGGTAATGGAAACCCCCAGCCACCAACTACAAATCAGAGAGGCGAAAATACCATGGTGCAAAATATCAATCTGGGATCACCCTCTAGATTTCCATACAGGGTTGTTTCCACAGCTTCGATCCAGAACGTACCAACAGAGGTAGTGCTGAAACCCTTAGTGAATTATGATTTGCCTCCTCCTTCATAGCCATATGAGCAACTCGGGCCCGCGCAATTTGCCATGGGCCTCTTGGGGAAACAAGTAGTTTTGCCCGTGAGGCCTATACTCAAATTTGGGGGACAAGCCAAAACAATTATATACGTAAGTGTGTTTTGGCTTGCCATGCTTGCCTTTGAGCAATGCCTCCCGGTGAAAACACGGAAATTCGACCTTCTCACCTTTGGTTTCCCGAGGTTCATCTTGATGAACCTTTTATTTCTGGATTCGTTGGGCAACTGAGACTTTCATCTTGGAAAAACATGTTCCTTCCAAGGAGTATATAGTCTGGTCTTCAGCTCATTGGCTCCCCATACTCCAACTCCCTCACCTTTCAAGGATGTCTGATCTCAAGTCCAACCGAACCGGAGCTTTTGCTTCCATTTTCCGAGACGGGTCCCACAAAGAGTGGCCTCGTCAGAAAGAGTAACTACCTTCTGATAGGTTTCCTTTTTGGTTGTCAGCCATGTCCCTCTCAAGGCTCCTTTTTGCGCACCCGTTGGGCTTCTGGTGGTGGAAGGTCCCCCTGTGATTCCAAGGCAGATCCCCACATCTTCACCTCAAAGGCGGTTCCATTGCTTCCATTTGATGAAGGAGATCTGTATGTTTTTCTCCTTGTGGTTTTAACAAATCACCACCTGACATATGTTTAGCTTGTCCAGGCGGACTTCAGCCAAATATCACTAGTGAATAATTTGCTTAATCTTTTCCAGGGGACTTCAGCAATGGACGATGATCACAGAAGTTGGTCCTGAAGCCAAGTTTCCCATGTTGGTTGTCCTCTCATCTGGACGCGCCTGGCGATGTCAGGCGGGCCTTGTACAGCTCGCCGAGAAGATGCGCCTCGTACGATTTGCGTCAGATGCTATGTCGAAATATCCAGTCTGTGGTGAATGTCTGGGGTCCTCCCGACATATTCTACATTTTAAGGTTGACAAAGTATAAAACAGAATCTGAGAGTGTCGTTTTTGGTTGTACCCCGGGGCTGTTCGCGTAAATGAGGATAGAAACTTAGTGAGTCCCATGTTTTCCTGACAACATTTCAAAATGCCGCCACGGCCCTCCCAAATCGGATTGTCCTCTGTCGGATTCTTGTGGTTTGGTTTGCCCAGGCTTTCGAATACATGTGTCAAAACAGGAATGGTTTTTCAATTCGGTCGTGTCATGTTGGCCAGCCCTCATGGATCACAAAGTGGTCCAATATAGGCTTGACTCTTACTCTGACGAAGATGTTGCGGAAATTATGACAAGCTGGAGATTGGGTGTGCAATGCAGATGTGGATTGATTGTATCGGTCTGATCTGAGTTTGTACTGGTGGTTTGTTTGGAATTTGGATAGACTTGCTGAATTCTGGAAGGAGTTGTTTGTGGTTTCCCCTCTCGAGCAGGTTTTGTTCGAAGGCGGCTGCCCTTTTGGGTGAAGTTCCTGTTACAGGTCTGTTACGGTCTCCTGGCCAACAAGAAGAAGGGCGTCCCACTGGTTGCAAACCGAACAACTGGAGTGTCATTTCTGTGTATATGTTATCATGCAAAGATTGCTATTTGCCTTCTTGGTGATCTTCTCGTTGAAACTCCGTCTCAATTTTGGGAAGGCGACAAAACTGGGGGTCTCCTTGGAAAATATATTTATATATGTTGGTTGGCAAAGTATGGCAGCTATGAACCATAACATAATTTGTATCCCCAGAGTTGGGTCAAGGCAAAGGGATCCAAACAGTGTTATCAGCCTTTCAGCCAGTTCAAGTTGGAGGATACTGACGAGCTCCATCCAGAATAAAACATGGCAGTTTCGGGGGATGTTTTTTTCAAGGTTGAAGCACCCTGTGGATCAAGGATGGCCCCATTTTCAGCATCCCAAAGCCTGCCCAAGGTGCGTGGGTATCAATTTGGCCATGCAGAATCCTGGCTTTTTGTTCCCGGCGCCTCGCAGGCTGAGCCGGCGGGCCAAGGTGGATCAGCGTCTCAGAGGCCAGACTTTCTGGGATTGCGGTGGGATGAGTCCAGCGAAGTCAGCTCCTATGGCAGCGTGAGCGGGAAGGACCACTAAGAAAGGCACGACCCATCTTTAATCAGACACTTGGCCAGCCCTTTTCTTGGGCGCGAAATGGGAATGGATGATTGTGAGAAGTCTTTCAGAACCTCAGAACACCAACCTTTTTGACACGTTTGGAGACACTTGGTTCATGTGCACTTGCACCACCCTTAGTGGTTGATATTCTGGCAAGTCTATAAGTCTACGTCACGGTGGTTGCCTGGTTTTGCCCCATGCCAAGAATACAAGTTCCCAGTTGCCCAAAGGGCCCAGAAATAAACGGGAGGGCGTTCCCTCCCGCGCTGAGTTGGGTGTCTGGCCAGGCCGCGCCTGCCGGATCAACGGCCACGGCTCGTGGCACGCCCCCACGGCCCGGCAGTGGCTGGAGGGCGCCGTCCAAGGCATCCGGCCCCCGAAGCGGAGCGGCGGCTGTGGGCGGCGAAACACGCGACCCGTGGGGCCGAAGATAAGCACAGGGGCTTGTCATATTTCTTTCTTTTGTTTTTTTTGGGGGGCTCTTTTGGGTGATTTTGGAGGGAAACCAAAAGGAAAACACAATTTGTTGGGGTTCACTGCCCGGGTTCACGAAAGAAACCACACCCACGTGGTTGTGGAGACTTGGATTTGAGGGCCACTTTCTGTGGGGAAACCCTTGCAGAGTGATGTCGTCATGGGGATGGCCCGCTTTGGTGTCACAGAAGCGGTTGAATCCCACAAGCATGAATGATTATAATTATTATGGGTGTTTGGGGAACTTGAGACCCAAGTTTAGTCATGATCACTGGAGTAAAGCCCTGATGTTTAGTTCGCCCTTATATTGCTCATTTTTTTCAGTGGCGCCCTTCACCTTCTGCTCTCCAATGTGCACTGTGGTTCGAATTCAACAGTATACTTCACGAATTTTGTTTCCGCCAGGGCCACAGTCAGTCAACATATCAGCATTTGGGAGGGACATGGGGGCACTCATTCGATTTCCCACAATCCGAGGGACTCACTAAAGAACACGTCTTCTGGGCAACCGCAGATTCTCACCGTGCCTCATAGGTCTGTCATTGTTTTGGATAACTAAGTGCCTTGCCTTGGGGGATTCGAATACGGAAGCCAAAGGAAAGCGCGCATGTGTGTGTGTGTGTTCCCATTTGAGACAAAGCCATTTGGGGAGGACCCCCATTTTGGATCATGTTGGATCATTTTGCGTGGTTGATTCCTTTTTGGGACCATCATTGCGGATTTATTTTTGGGACCATCCCCTTCTAGGGCCTTTTACATTCATTTTGATCCCATCGGTCGCAGGCAAGGACCTCATGTCGGACCACGACTCCCCGGCGACGAAGGCGGGACGGAGTTTCCGGATCCGGTTGCGAACGCCGTGTCTCTTGGAGAGCCCCCTTTGGCTTTTGGGGATTTGGGTTTCATGTGTTAGGGAAACCAAAAGAAAACGAGCTTTGGGGTTCCCAATTTGGCATGCCCATATCTGCTGTGGTCAAGACACCGATTCCTTGGGGGTAGGGATGGTCAAGACCCAACTGGCGCAAAGTGCAAATGGTTTCCCGTGGTTTCCCTTTGCAAATGGTTTCCCGTGGTTTCCCTTTGAAAGCCACCCCAAAAGGTGCATAGTCTAGTGGGGATACGGCCTATTGCCAGATCAAGTCAAGACGCCATGTTGAGAGGTGTGGCGAATTGGCCCTGCGCTCTGCACCAGTTCGCACCGAAGAATCCATCTATGCCTAAGATGTGCAAATTAGGATACCTTGACGACCATGGGCTTTGTGTCGCTTGCAGCAGGCCAGAGGCGTGTGAGACCTGCGGAGTTGAGTCTGGGCTCTTAGATTTGGAGCAGACTGACTGGGAGCTTTTGGTCATGACCCACATGTGCTCCCAGCCCCGAGTGCTGGGACCATACTCTGAGTGCTTTGGGGGGCCTCATGGTACTTGAGACACAGATATGTATGCAGATGCCAGATAGTCGAACATACATCTCCCCCCCTTCCCAATCCACATGAGCTTGCGTCACACAACTCTCGCTTGCCCATCCCTTCTCTGGTTCAACGGTTGGCATCTTGCATCTATTTCCTTGACTAGAATGATGGTAAATATGAAATCAATCCTAGATGGATGGTTGACTAGTTGAATGACTAAAATGATAGTCAAGATATCAAGCCCAGGTTGATGGTGGACAAACATGATACTCATGTGTTCAATCCTGGCTTGACTTCAACCCCTTTCGCGGTTGACAGATGTATTGGTGTACTTGTGTGTCTCATCACATGGTGGAGACTCAATGAGCTTGTCAAAGGACATATATCTCGAGTCATGTATACACATATTATATATATATATGAACAATACATGTATATATGTATAGATACATATATATATATATATATATATGCGGTCAGCCCCTTCAAACTCTTTGAGTCCATTGACCGATGGCCGCGAGGCTTCGCTGAGTTCCACGCTGTGGCGCTCCATGGGCGCCTGGCGCCTCAGCCCTGAAGAGCCAAGGAGCCCTCGGCGGGCGCTGTTCCCGTGTGCCCAAAACGGGGGGGCCGGGGGAAGGGCGGGACCTAGGTTTCCTGTTGCTGACTTCCTGAGTTCCTGGACTTGAGTCGCTTTTTGGGAAGACCATGCTAGTGATAAATTTAAAAAAAAGGACTGTTGTTTTGGACCGTCCACTCGGGAAGTGAGGTTGCTTGTTGTTTTGGTAGCCAAGTCGCAGACCCAGGTACGCCTCAAAAAGAGGTACTGTAGCCTCAAGAAGTCACAGACCCTACCTCGCCTCAAAGATCGATCAGGCGGATAAGTAAAGATGAGGTTTCCCATGTGGCAGCCATCCAATCCACCCACCCAAAGGCGCGCCGCCGAAAACTCCGCCGCAGGATCTTCTTGGAGTGCCGGGCTCCGCAGACCTGCCTGGGCTACGACTGGAACCAGTGGAAGCGTCTCAGCCCCTTGGGCTCTCATGGGATCCACTCATGGTATGGGTCAAAATTAAAGAGCTAGGGTTCACGCAGGTTTGAGCCTTGGGCTCCATTTACCAAGGCGTCATTGTTGGCACATGTTCTCGAGCGACAGCCATATCGGTGTCTATTGTGAGAACCTCTTCAAAGTCCAATAGAGCAGTGGAACCCTCACGCCCTTTCGGAGAAATTCCGGAGGATCCCTGTTCCCTTAAAAACTGTGCCCTTTTGGTGAGGGTCCCCCTGAAAGCGTAGAAACAGAAATCCCGGAGGGAGTGACACCGCCACCCTGGCAGAGCCCACCATAGAAAGGCGTGCCCATTTTCGGCATCACACACATGTTGGGTTTCCTGCATGTTTGAACATCAAACAAAAGACCTGTTCCAATTGCAGGGGGACACTCACCATGTTTACAGACAACCCTCCGGTTTCTAGAGATTTGACTTATTTAACTTGGTCTTAGCTGCTATACTATATCTTATAACTTTCTCGAAAAGGGTGCACTTTCTGTGGGCCCTTGGATCAGAATTTAGTTGTTGGGGACTTCGAAACCAAATTGAGTCATCTTGGGAGAATTCTATGCGTGTGTTGGCTTCTCTTGGAGTTATTGGCATACCTGCAGAATAACTGAAAATAAAAAATCGTTCCTTTCCGGGCAAAAACCGCCATTCATGAATCCGGTTGAAGTCCTGCTTGGTCGAACAAAAAAAATCAACAAGCCCCGGGCCCGGACTGCTTGGGGGCATTTGTTTTCACGGAGCTTTCAGCTTCCTATCAGTGTTCAGGTGAGCAGTCCACTGGAAGATAACCTATGGTCAAATGTCCCAACCTCCGTTTGGGGCAACCTCGGGCGGCATCTGAAATTCAGAAAACAGCCCAATGCTCTTCTCACCATAGTATGATATGAAGCTTGGCGCCGCTATACAACCATCCAAATTTGCCGGTAGGCATGAATCCCCCCCCATTGAATGATGTTGTCCACAAAGGGGTTCCTAACCTGTCGTAGAGGGCAAAGTGTTTTTTTTTCTCGTGACTCGTCTGAACTCTTCTGGGTCCCGAAGCTGAACGTCGAGAAATGAATAAACTGGGCGCTAGCTAAATAACCCCGAATTGCTCATTCCCCTAAAGGATAGATGATTTGCTGAGTTTCACTTTGCACTCAGACAAGTGATCGTGGCAGACTCTACAGGCAATTCTCCAATTTTCATTCGCTTGAATACGCAAATATGTTTCCCGTGGTACTTGCTGCCCGCCAAAGGGCATTGTGGACATTTCAGATTGCCCAGCCTGGCGTTGCAGCCCAGTCCAGCTTTTCATGCCCACGGTTCAGGAAGAGCGACTTCAAGAGGTACCCCAAGACATTCTGCATCGATTCTTCCGTTTGCCTCGGGCGATGGACATTTTGTGTTGGTCTCGATATATCGTTCCAAGGGGGAATCGTCACGACTGGTACTTATGTCTCATTTTGGCCGCGCTGAAACACCCAAAGGACACAAGTGAAAGCAAGATAAGTTTGTTGACAAAATATGGGTCCGATGCTAGGCTACGAGCAGATGCTGCTGGAAACTGCCCACCAGGTCCATCATTTGGAGAAGATCTGAGCCGGCGCAGCTTCCACGATTTCCGCATGGAAACGATCTGAAGTGCGCGCGCGTTCGGAAAATGCGTGGCGAACTCGCGAGCGGATGAATTGGTGGACCGTGGTTGTTCATCCACCCAACATGTTCGGACAATTGCTGCCCAGGCCCCCAATTCAACGCATTCCAGCTGGGCTGGGATGTGTTTTGTCGAAACCTCGAGACGAGTTTGCCTCGAAATCTGGTTGTTTTGCTGTTCTCTCGGGTAGGAGATGCCCTAGCCTCGTTTTTTCCAGCAGGAACGGGCGGCGATCCTAAGAAGCCGGGCGGTTTGGATGGCTTGAACCCCATGGTCCTTTTGAAGACTGAAGGTATCCGAACCGCCAAGAGGGGAGCTGTGACACGATGTGTCAAGAGGGGTTTCTCATTTGGGGACAAGGTTTGCTTGCCTTCTTTGGAAGAAAAGAACGACTTCCTCGAACGATATTTCTACACCTTGGGGGGGGGTTGGAATTTTCCCAGTTTTTTTAATCCAGTCCAAAGTTTTAGTGTTGCAGGTTGGTTCCCCTCAAAAAGGAATTTGCCGCGCTTTGGCAAATAACTTCCGAAAGGTGTCTCTTTCCCACAGGATACAAAGGGCCCCTCGCAAAACAATCTGCCCAAAGAAAGAACGAGCCCCCGAACAGTAACTTAACTTCCACCACCATAAGACAAAAAACAAACCTGCCCTTTCCCTTATTCCTCGTTGGTCCCTCCATTTGTACCATGCTTTCCTTTGATTCTCTCCAAGTCCCAACGTTTCCGAATTGTTGCCTCAGTCGTGTGCCCTGTTTCAAAACGCGCCCTCTTCCCGCAAGGCCATTTCAACAGGATTGTAGGCTTCCAATCCGCAATTCCTCAGTGCGGGGTTTCACCTGTTTAATCGTGATCAGGGAAAACCAAGAGGACCCCAGCCACATGAAGATTCATCCAGTGGTCAGAAGGTCTTGCTAAGGCCTTAAGAAATCGGGCCACAATTGGGGCTCCATACAGGCTGTTCGAAAGGGACGGGAAATATTTGGGCACAGGTCCAACCCCCTGAAATCTTTGTATCAGTCGACTTCGCAGTCAAATAACTCGGACCCTGGTCAGAGGGGCCCCCTGAAGTAGACTGTTTCCTGGTCGGCACGTGATTTATAAACCCCCTCGAATGATCGGAGGGGGTTGATTTATTCACGTGCCGACAAGGAAACAATCTATTTCAGGGGGCTCCTCTGACTAGGGACTCTGATCAAAGACCTTTGTCAACGTTGCGTAGCGGATTCATTTACCTGTCTAGTCGGTAACCAAGGCAACCACCCTTGAAAACCCGAAAGAGCGGACAATTGCTGGTTATTTGCTATAATGGCAACTGGGAACCGCTGGGTTGGGGTGGTTTGAATTTTCACGTGCCTCGTTAGAAGCCGGAACCCCCCCTTACGTCGCTCGATTCGGTCCGCGTCACGTTCAGAGCCTGGGTCTCTTCGGGGGCAGCGCGCGGCTGCTGAACCTGGTGCAGGCTGCCGGCGGAGCCCCCGCTACTCGGAGAGTGAAACCCAGTTGGGTGGCATTTCCTCCTGTTGGTGTTTGCATTGGAAGTTTTGTTGGTTGTGTGCGTTGGAATTTTGGTTGGGTGTGGTTTTTGTGTAGGTTGGGCTCCCCCTCCTGGAGATTAATTAAGCAACAGATTGAGAGTTGACTGGCAACCCAGGATCAATCCAGCTTGCAAGCTGCACCAGAGCTGATAGATGACGCTTCTGGGGCTTTTTGGGCGACCCCCTCTCGGATAGCTGAGGAACCACAGGATGCCGAGGCCCATCTTGGGTCCCTGATTTGAAGGCCAACCCGTATGAATCTGCCTATAGCATAAACGAGCTCACCATGATGTAGCTTTCACTTAGGGATCCTTAGCTTCTGGACACCACGTGTAAGTCGCTAGGCGAACCAATATTTGTCTGAGTCACGAATTGCTCGAACACATTGCTATAACCCTTTCGCCCTTTGGCTTCGGGGGTTCAGCAAATTCATGGGCAAAATATAGGGATGTAGGGGTCGACTGAACGCCCTTTTTGTATCACAGATCCAAGTCTAGCCCAGGGTCTGATGCCTTTGCTCGCGGGACCCCAAAAATCACTGGTCATCGTTTGGGGAATACTCAACTAAAGGTGGGGAACAAGTCGAGAATCGGCATGTTGCTCTCTTTCCAAGAATTATGGACGCTGGCAGAAGGGTTTTCGAAGAATAGTATCCTCTTGAACATCCCCTGTCCATTCCATGATTGTTGGAGAAAGGATAGACCCCAAGTGGCTTCGTTTTCGGTGGCTTCGTTTTCGGTGGCTTCCTTTTCGTTGTCAAGTTGTCTTGTTTTTGGCAAGCCACAAGGACAGTACTTGTTTTCAGGTTCCCCCAATTTTAAGGCAAACTCTGGGTCCATGTGAGGTTCTGTGAAAACCACAACCTGCCCATGGCAGTTGGAACCTTCGCTTCATAGTTTTGACCATGGCTATGGAGCTTCGGTTTTTCGTGTCTTTTTGACCCCCCCCGTTGGTGGTTGTCCTTTTGGTTTCCCTTCACCCAAGCAAAGGATACCCTGAAGAAAGACCCCAAATTGCCTACCTGTTGGGTGATCAAAAGTAAGGAGCCAACCCACTCGGGCTGCAACCGAGGTCTCCATTTGCGCAGTGAAGGTGCACCCGGGCAAGCGGCCGGAGCCCCAGTTCGCCTCGCCAGAAAGCGGCGGATTCTTGCGCGGGATTTTCCAGGCACGGATTTGGTGCCACAGGCGCGAAAGGGTCAAGAGGCAGATCTGTGTGGTTTTGTTTTGTTGCCACAAGCAGTTGGAGGTGACAGATAAGGTTCACTCAATATATGCACCAAAAGCATGTTTGCTCTTGTTGTCCGTTTTGATTTACAATGCAAGGATCACATATCAGAGCAATGATGCCTGGTTGGGGCAAAAGTTGAGGTAGAAGAGACGTGGAGATAATTGGGCCCCATTGGGGCACATATGATTCACCTGATTTGGTGGAGGGGGCCCCTTTTCTCCAATGGCCGCTGGACCGGAGATCCTGGTTCGGGCCCTTCCCAGAAAGGTTCCATCCCAAACCTATCAGCAGCTTCTGGCTTTCTTGGGGCGGGGCTTTGAATCCAGGTTCGCTGGTAGAACCATGTAAAGAGGATCTGAAGGACAATTCGGGGAGCCCATACACCAGGTGGCCTTTTCCAATGGGCGATTTGTTTCTTGATGTTTTGACTGGTTTTGATCAGTTCCGGAGCTTAGCCCATGTCCAAATTTTACCCAAAGGTTGCACCCAAGGAATAACCACCAGGTTGGTTGCCGAGGTGTTTCTTTTGAATGGCCCTTCAAGCCTGGCCACGGATACCGTCGGGTGTTTCCCGAGAGAAAACCTGAAGGGCAAGGGCAGAACATGGTTGGTTTCCCTTTCAGAAACCGACATTCTGCCCTGCCGACAGAGGTCTTTGGAGCGCCGTGCTAAGTAGGCGATCGCCACCCGGCCACTTGCAAGCCTCTTATGTGGGGGTTTCTTTAAATGAGCCTTTAAAGGCAAACGAAAAGGCCAACTATTTTCGGGGGATCCCTACTTGGACGAGCACCCATATGATTCTCCTCAGGCTGGCCTGACCCCCTCTAGGCCCCCCAGCTAGGTGCCCTTTTACCGTTTCTTTTTTGGGGGAGGGTTCCCCTAGTAAAATACACAAAACTGAAGAAGCAAAAAGGAGTTGGTACCAACTTATTCTCTCCTCTCAAATCTGGAGGGCCTAGCGCCCTTTTGTTTGGGCATGCAACAAACAAAATCCGAAGGGCTCTCCGGCCTCGGCTTGTCGCTTCAGACCCGACGAGCCGGAACTGCGGCTCATGTCCAAGCTTGCCAGCCCGGGACCCATTCGACCCATTCGACTCGCGGGTCGAATGGGTACGTCGCGTCTTAGAAAACTGCCAGCCACAACTTGTGATTTGTTTCGGTATGGGTCAAAGTTAAACCAAGGGAGCGCAATTTGGAGTCCATGTTTCCAGTTGCCAGGGTTCCGGTTTGGGTACCTGTGCCTATTCTTGACCCACTGCCATTGAATGGCAACCCTGTTGAGAAATACATCCCCATGGTTGATTTTTTGATTGGGTGGCCCATAGACGGGATCCGCATCACTTTGGGCGGGACGTAGTCCCCAATTGAATCCACCGGGATAAAAGTGTCAGCCATTTGTCCGCTAAACGGAAGGAGCCCAAAAGCACGGGCCCCGATCCCAAGGCGGCTCTAATGATGATACTGGTTCCATGTCCTCCTTTTTGGGCGCTGCCATGTTGGGGTGCGAAGGGCAACCGAAGGAACACGGGTGACTTGAGGAGTCCCTGAGGCCACTTGAGTGGGAAACATCTCGGATGGCCAAAGTGCGATCCAGGCAGAGCGTAAGCTGTTAAGTTCCTCATTTCCTCACTAGAAGGTGAGTTGTTGTTTTCAATAGTGCCCTTGCCTTTGCATACCTCCTTGTGGACTTCTTGGATCCGCTGTGATGTTGATAGGGCTCTTTTGGTTTCGAACATTACCCTCTGGCGGCTTTGAGTGAGTTTCCTTCTGGAGTGATGTTGAACTGTGAGTTTGCCCGTTTGGCAAACTCAGCCAGTTTGCTTTTTGAGCAACGACAAGGGGACATCTTGATCGGCTCCAAGCGTGGCGAGTGGCGAGTATGTCAATCATGTTCGAGCCGGTTCCCCGGGTAGTTCTTGTTTCTTAGAAAGGATCCCTGCATATGAAAGGTGCTCTTTGGCAGAATTTTCGGCAGTTCCCCACCTTTGACCAAAGTTTCTGGGAAAACTCCTCTCGGACCGCATGGCATCCGCAGATGCCGTCGCCGCAGTCTTTGGCTCGGTTCGTGCCGCCAAGCTGCAATCCAAAGTCCCAGTCGCAACATATAGGATTTACCAGCTGATTTAGAGGATTTCGTGTTTCTAGTTGGCTCAATGTTATCCTAGGAAACCTGTCTTTGGCAGCTTTCGCATGCTTTCACGGTCTCACGATTCTGCACATGTCATAAGCGGTCAGGGAAAACTAGGGCACACTCGTGGATTGGAGTCACCCGACTCAGGTAGCTTACTGCAATTCCGATTCAACCAGCTGACTTGTGATTGGTGTTTTCACTTTCTCTCTGAAAGTGGCAACGGGTTCCCTTTGGTTCCCTTCACAATGTTGCTAGGTTCATGCGACATGTCATTGAAAGTGCCAGTTTTTCCCATCGTCAAGGCAACTCAACAAGAGATCGCCGTTTCCTGACCAAGCCACTTTCGTGGGTTTTGCGAAAGTCCGTCTTTTCCGGATCCCCTTTTTCCGCCGGAAGAACCGGACTTGCGCATTCCCTTGGCGCCGGCAATGGACTGTTGCGTGCCGAACTTCTGCGGGCGCCAGTACCGATTCACCAGGCGGATTCTTTCGACGCGTTGCATGGGTCGCTCAGGTTTTCTGGTTGCTTGAAACTGTTTCAGCATGTTGTATTTTCAATCTGCCCCTTTTGGAGCTGGCACTTTGGAAACACCCAAGCACATCATCTTTCTAAGCTCGGCAGATGCTTTGTTGGTGACCAAACAGTTGCCTTTCTGTGGCGAATCTAAGTCGGTAGCCAGCAGGCACAGCCCAATTTTCAGAACATACATATGAGAGCGGTCCCCCTCCAAGTGCCCGCCTGTTTTGGTTGTTGCATTTTGAAAAGTTTTGTTCCCCATGGCAAATGCCTCCTTGGTCAAGGCTTGACATCACACCAGAAGTGGGTGTTTGGACTAGACGGCAACGATTCTGGCCATGGGCTGCAACCGCCCGGTTTAGCCTTGGACGCACGGATGCAGAGATGCGGGTTTGGGGGGAGTCGCATTTTCAACGGCCTGGATTGCGGGTTTGTTGCGGGCTGTCTTGCCGCTGATATCCGGATCTGGGCATGGGGACTCACAAATGCCAGTCCCAGGGTGCTTCCGATGGAAGATTATGCTGCATTCCATGCTCTGCCAGGTGGAAGTCCTGGTTCTTCAGCATTAAGCCACAAAGCGATTCCCTTTTTCTGCCAGGGTCGCTGGGTAGCTGGGACTTGCCTGGATCACCAAACCGCAAGCGAAGCAGAGCCCTGCATCCCTTCCGTGATGGCAAGGGTCCTATGAGCAAGCAACTGTCGAACTGACTGGTCTATTCATAGTTTGGGGAGGACATGAAAACCCGTCGCGTCGGCTATGAGAGAAAAACGACTATATCATTTGGTCATTGCCGTAGGACACCATTGCCAATGGGGTGGGGGACAAAACGGTCGACACATTCTTGGTCCTCGGTGTTTGCGTGTTCTTCAGCCCTTTAGCCGTGACTATGGGACCATTGCTAAAACAAACAAAGGTAGTTGCTGGTTGGCAATCACTCCCAAGCATGGAGCAAAACCATGTTCTCCACGGCTCTGTGCGGACTGGGGAGTTTGGGAACCCCGACGATAGTTCCCTTTGGCGGTTTCTTCTTCGGGTTTTGGTTGAACACTTTTGGTCACCGCTCGCCTCACAAACAGTCACACATTGCCGAGAGTTCTTCCAGTCGCCAGGGTATACCTCATCCGGTGCGCGCCTTAGTACAGTTCGGACGCTTGAGCTTGCGTTGAAACACCCGGACAGAGCGTAGTTGGAAGGGGAGATCAAATGATTTAACTGTTTTCCATTCGTCATTGTTTGTTGGCTTGTTGCTTGCTGGTTTGACAGTCTGTTTGCTTGTTTGATTGAGTTTACTTGATTTGATTTATTGATTGATTTGATCGATTGATTGGATTGGATTGGATCGGATTGGATCGGATTGATTGGAATTGTTTTGATTGATTTGGTTGTTTGCTTGCATGCTTGCTTGCAGTCCCTTTGCCTTTTCGGACCAGGCTTGCTCAAATCAGCGCAAGTAGGTTTCGTTTCCTTCAATTTCCCTTGCCCACCAAATTTTCCGGATTTCAGATGCAACTGGTATCGCCAACCCGCTTTTCCCGTTTTGCAGCTCCCACTGTTTGCTGTGATCTCTGCTTTCTTGTTCAGGACCTTGGAAGTGGGGCAACCTGGAAAAGGGCCAATGATGGCCTTTTTCAGGTTGGGTCAAGATTCCGGCCTATGGGCTATTTGGAAGGGACATTGGGGGCCCGGGGGGGGGATTACCATCTGTTCCCCAAAAATCAGGGGAGTCACTACGTAGCCATAGTTTTAACCGTGTCTCATCCCTTGTCGTCTCAGGCATGGCGAGACGGTGTCCTCCGGCACGCTTGGCACCACTTTCTTCCTTGGCTCTTGGCAAATGGCGGGACCTCTTCAGCCCGGTAACCAGTGAATGATCTGCAAGGAATTGAATAGATCAATAGATCATTAGAAACCTTGTTCCCCCAACAGGATTTACAAAAACCCCAGGAGGTGCCTGCCACCTCTACCCGTCGAGTTCCGCTTTCCGGAGATCCTGCTCCGGCGAGTTCCATCGACAGCCCGGCAGATGCTTCGGCCCGACTGGACAAATTTTCTGGGAGACTGGGACGCGACTTCGGAGTCACAGGGAAATTGGCGTGCCGAAGCCTTCCAGCAAGCTGAAGCCACAGCTCTCTTGCAGGCGGACGAGCGTGAATTCGAGAAAACTCCTCGAGAAAAAAAAGGGAAGCCCGCAAAAAAACGCGAAGTCCATAGCTTACAATCCCCTGTGTAGCAGGTAACCAAGGGAACCGGCCTTCAAGCACCAACGGGACAAATGTTGCTTAGCTACTTTTGTGGTAATCGGGATGGACTGGGAATGGTATGCCAGAGCTTCTTTTTTTTGCCACCAAAACATATTGAATCCTTTTTGGGAGTGCCCTGTATCAAACAAGGCCGAAACCCTCTCTGGCCGGGGCATGGCCAAATATAAAGCAGCCCACCACATCCAACCAAAAAACACGAAGGAAAATTGAAGGGGTTGCAGGCTTTCAGTTTGTTCCTCTTCAAACACTTGTCGCGCATTGCGCATCCAGCGTACCTTCATTGCTCTTGGGTTCAGAGTGTTTACGGTGTTTCGCTTTTCCAAATATTCTTGTTTGTGTTGGCCTTTATTTGGCTGTTATTGTTTGGTGTTTCTGGTTTTGTCAGATTGTGTATGTGCGCGGGCGTTGTGTGTTGTTGCTTGGAGTGTTTGCTGGTTTCAGTTGTTTTTTTCCCTAATTTTCCTTCTTTTTTTTTTTGCGTGGGTGTCTAGGGGTGTTGGTGTGCTTGATTCTGTCGCGTTTGGTGGCTTTCTGCAAAGAAGACTATTTGTCCTAAGACTAGTGAGGAAGACCGTGACCCAATTTAGCAGGCTGTGATTGTGTGTGATGCCAACAAGGGGCCAAAAAGATAGGGCGGATCTGGTTTTGTGTTTGTGTGCCACATCTTAGGAGCTCCTGAGAAGGAGGGCAATTGATTTTTGGAGAATGCACACGACTGTCACACAAAACATATTTTGAGCACCAGCACTCATCGAAATTCCAACCCCCTCCCCGAATCATCACCAGGCCTCGGGGAGGTGAGGTGGGGGTTGTCTTTGCGTTCGTCTACTCTGTAAGTCTCGGGAACATCCCTTTTTGCGAGGCATTCGTTGGAAGGAAGGTTTTAGGCTTTGTCAAATGCTTGCGGGTGGAAGGTAGAATATGGATTCACATGTTGCATTTAGACCATTTGTTTGTATTGCAGTTAGAGTAATTTCCGGCACTCAAAGTCCGCCAGTCCGCCGCAGTCAATGTGATGTGCTCAGAAGTCCCTTGAGGATTCCTCACTTCTGGTGAATTCGTGCAGAATGCGTCCCTCTGCGTCCAAGCGGTTTAGTCGAAGCGATTGGTTTCGCAGCGCCAGACGTGGAACGCCGACCGCCGCATCCAGGGGCAGTGA